ACCACTTCCGAAACACTTGCCTTGAAAGCTGCAAGGACTCGTCCAAGCAGTCACTGCAGAGTCAGTAATGACTGAGCGCAGATAAAAACAAAAAAAAGTCTCTTCAAGCAGCTCCCCACTTTACCCAACAAATCAGACAGCTATGGGAACATCAGTGCAACGCTAATCCTCTGGGTAGCAAACATCTGAGCATGTAAATGGTTCTACAGAACCAGGTTCCCAAATGCTGGCAAAGACATGCTTATTTTTTATCACTGTAAACATGCCAATTGTAAATGTGTAGAAGATTCCTGAGCCATTAATGGTAACAAATACTTGCACTGCAATACTTAATTCCTAAGTCATACAATTGAGAGCCAGTGTGGTGTAGTGGGGAAGGCATCAGGCTAGAAACCGGGAGACTGTGAGTTCTAGTCCTGCCTTAGGCATGAAGCCAGCTGGGCGACCTTGGGCCAGTCACTCTCTCTCAGCTCTGAGAAGGAGGCAGTGGCAAACCACTTCTGAATTCTTGCCAAGAAACCTGCAGGGACTTGTCCAGGCAGTCACCAGGAGTTAACACTGACTTGAAGGTGTCTGTCTATCTAGAATGGCTGTGTCTTTTTGACAGAGATATAGGATCATCCCCAATCTAGTGCCATCCAGTTGTGTTGAATTTCAGCTCCCATAAGTCTCAGTTATAGTTTCCAAAGGCCAAAGTGGCAAGTATGGGAATTGATATCCAACACAACTACAGGGCACCAGATTGAGGAAAACTGTCTTAAGGCATATGCTTTGGACATGCTTAACTTATACTTAACTTAAAGTATGAAAGCAGATGTCAGTCTGAAGCTGATACGAACATAGACGTTGCTTATTACAGATGTAGAAAGTAATGAAGATGACCTTGATGGAGATATGCAGGATCCACTGCCTAGACAAAAGGGGCTGAAGCATTTTTTAAGTCCAGAACCAGATAACATTTGGAAGAAGCCCCAATTTACTGAAGAAGGAGATATAGCACAATCAGACATGCAAGATTCTGTAGAGCCAGTCTCAATAAAAGTAGCTTTAGCCTTCCTGTGGAGTTGATTTCTTGGTCTGGTCTACCTAGTGGGGCTGAATTAGGGAGGTATCTTCCTGACCACTTCTGAATGTTATCTCGTTCTGGACTTTTAAAATGTTTTAGCTCCTTTTGCATGGGTAACAGATCATCTAACAGGCTATGATATGCTCTCAAGGACAGTGTCTTTCCCATCAGCAGCTACAGGACTTCAACTACAGCTACCAAATCTGGGGTGCATAACTCCAGACAACAGTTAGGCAGCAGCCAAGAAACACAAAAAACACTGCTGCCATCTAGTGGTTGGCTGGAATTCTGCAGTCAAGATATGATAGCCTTTGTTCAACTGATGATGTCAGAAATTGAACCTGACACTCCTACAGATGCTCTACTTCTGCCTCATTTCAGTGGTTGATAGCATAAACCACAAAGATATCAAAAACGACAACACACATGGAAAGTCTTACCAAAAATGCTGTCATTCATACTTGGGCACTGATGTCTGGTGCAAGTACATGAGCTACAGCATTTGTGTGATGACGTCCGTACCCCTTTTGCCTCCATCCGTATCCCTGATCATTTTCCCACCTCCCTCTGTCCCCTGTGCCCAATCAGCTGGCAGCAAGGCCCGACGGGCAAATGGCAATTGGCTGCTTTGGAAATTTGAAATCTCTTAACAGCTTGTGGGCCTTGAGGCAAGGATGAGGAAATGACTTGGATGCCTGCTGGTGAGGCAGGGCTGGCTGGGGGTGCTGGAGGTTGACAGGTAAGCTCTCTTCCTCAAGGGAGGGGGCCCTTGGGGACATGCCAGAATGGGGAGTGGGGGTGCAGTTTTCCTCATGGTCCACTGCTTCTTTTGTTCCACCTCGCCCCAGCAAAGTGGGAAGCAGTTCTGCTGGTCAGCTGAGGAGGAGGAGGAGGAAGAGGAGGAGGAGGCTTCACTGGGATTCTCCAGAGGGTTGTGAGGGGAGGGTAAGTGGCACAAGCCTATATTATATGTGGAGAGGGAGGGGGGGAAGGAAGGAAGGAAGGAAGGAAGGAAGGAAGGAAGGAAGGAAGGAAGG